TATTACATTAATAAAACACTATAGAAAATTTTAGAAATTATGCGAGTTTATTAATTTGATTTTATTAAGAAAGTTAAAGAGTCAACTTGAATATAATCTTTTCTAAATAAGACAGTATTACGTTTAATTGAAAATCAATGCTTTTAAAATCCATTTTCTCTTGTTACAATTTTTTCCCTCCTCCACGATGGCGTAATCGTGGTGAAGTTGAAATGTCTGAGGCGCAAGTTGTTGCCAGGTTACTTTGTAATCCCGCGGTCCTTGTCAGCTTTTTCCGTAGAAGGCAAGTTGATTAAAAGTTGGATTACACGGTGTTATTTCGTTCCCTGAATTTTTAATTCCATTTGAAACAGTTAAAAGTGATAGTTCAAAGAGACCTCCTCTTTGATTCAGAATTCTAACATAAAAATTCGAACAAAACTGTTACCTCTTATAAATAAGAGTTGTCCGTCGAACTCTTAACATTTATATCAATTTTTCATTGAATTTCGTACATTAGCATATGAATTCATTTTTAAATGGTTTTAACAGTCAGTTTATGATTAAAAAAAATCATACAAGATAAATGTCTTGAAATTATAAAAAAGTAAGCAAAAAATTCAGATTTTATACTTCGTAACATTTAAAACTGAAAGCAGTACCAAAATTATGAATACAATTTTAATTAATTGAAAATGAGAATGTGATTTTTATTCGAATTCGATGTGAACTTGAAACGGCAAATTGTCAGTAGGTAAGAGTCCCAAAAGTTACGGGGGTGGTTAATAGCCCTAAGGCCGATTAGGGTGTGTTTTCGTGCTCGCCGACAGCGCGAGTGGAATCATTGCGAATTCTCGTAATTCCCTGCCGCGGAAGGGTGGTGTTCGCGTCCGGGCGGTAAAGGGGGATGGGAAAGGGGGGTGGGGTGGGGTTGGATGGGTGTTCGGTATGGCCTCTCTTTCGTACGGCACGCTCGAAGCACCCAGGGGCAATTGAAACTCACGGCCATTTACTGCATTTCAATAATGGTTTCCTACCCCCACGGCTGCCACCCCTCTGGGTCACGTAGATACGCGCGGAACACGAGAGAGGGTGGCTACGGCCTCACAGTCGATTTACCGTTGGGCTTTATGGAACACACATCGGGCGCAGAAGTAACCAACGGCTAACTATCTCTCTCGCCGTGTCTACCAACGACTGTATTATTCGATTCAGCCGGGGCCACGTGCCGAACGTTCTCTACGCTCAACCGGAATGCCGGAAAAGATGGGCAAACCGGCCTATGGTTCCTTCGTATTGTCTGGCCAACGACGCTCTTATGCTTTATTTCCCTATTGATCACATTAAAAATTGCTACCTCAAACATAGACTCTTCACAGAATCTAAATACTTGATTTGATTAAATCAGGCTTGTTTTACTTCATTCTATACATTCTCATACTTTTAGAAATCAGACGAATTTCTTTCAAATTCTTTTAATTAATGTTTCAAAGCAGATTTATGTGCATCTCTATATACAATAAAAATGGTTGGATTTTAATTCAGCATTTAATATATTATTATCTATTTGATTTCAAAAAATGAAGAAATGTTTGGTTCCTTTAAAAATGTTAGATTAAT